AAGTAACCTTAAGTTTGATATTAAACAGTGAAACGCTAACAAAAATAAGGGAAATGTAACAAAGATGGGCTAAGATCGTTCCTAAAGAGCTCGTTCTATAGACCAACAGTCATAGCCCAGTCCGCCAGAAAAGGGCGACAGAGGCTCTAAGAACGAGCCCTAAGATCAGCCCTCTTACTTGTCCTGTTTTCTTTTTTATTCCTTGTGTGATCATTTTTGAACGATATGCGCTTTCGGTTATGTTTGCATGGGTTGTGGCAAGTACTATTTCATTTTTGTTTCTTATAAGGTAACTAGGTTGCTTTTTAAAGGCTCTATTTTTCATTCACTGCAGACAGTAATTTGCTTTATCGAACACAAACACAAGAACTTTGACAGATGTACACAATTACACTCCATAAAACCCAGAGGAAAAGAAACGACTAACAATGTAGGGCCCTTAAAGGCACTCAGTTACATTCTTGGTTTTCTAAGGAAAATGAAAAAACACACTTAATTCTCTAAATGTCAATTTTCAGCCTTAGTTAATGTTATTGAGTCAATGCTTGTGGGCAAAAGTTTTGGGCAACCCAGTTTGTAACGCAAATATGTTCATGATAAGTTATTTCAGTTTTGAAAATTACCGAAAAATGGGAAAGGGCACCACAATTGTAATATGATTATGAACCAAAAAGAAGGTAATAACCATGTTAAATTTTTGAACAATTGATTCTCATTTATTGGGATTTTAATGAACACTGAATAAACCAATTATGTTAAACCTGCACATGTTTTTTTTTTACTTTGTTTCTTGAGACTACATTTATGACATACAGCAATTGAGGATTGAAGGTAATCCTGGATTTTCTTGTATTTTGCACTACTTATTCGCTTTGCGATTGGCCCAGAAAACTCGCGCCATCCTCTTGACCAATCAGATGCAAGACTTAAACCAATCGTGGCTTAAGTACTCTCATTTTCCGGCGCTTTGAGCGGTAACTTGTTTCCACTTTGAGTTCTCATTGGCTAATGACAATGTAAACCTTTATTCTGATGGGTGGCTGGGATTATTTTGGTTTCGGTTTTTCCACACCCAATTGAAAACTGCCCTAGTGTCGTAATTACTTACAACTGAGTTAACTATTGAAAAATGCAAACTTGTTTTTGCAATAGTTTTGGGTTGTAATAGCTGCTTTGTCGTTGGATACTTGCAGCAGTTGTTAAAGTTCAGTCATTATCTTTTTTTTCGACTTTGATAGTCTCCTAGAAATAGCTGGCGTAGGGGTTCATAATTTTAGTAATAATTTTATTATTTCTATAGCGCAAAATTCATTAGATATATGATCTAATGCGCTTACTGGGTTTTGGTGGGGAGGAGGGAGGAAGAAGGTCACTTCAATTTGACCCAACTAGGTCTTGTGTCTCTTCAGGGTTTACAATCTTCGCTATTTAAAGAAAGGGGTACCGTCCTGGAGTAGAAACCTGAAACAGGGATTGTTATGACTTATTTGAGTGACCGTTTTGCACTTGGAAGGAAGACTATGCGCTCTGGCTGTATGTATTAATCGTTCTCGCTATCTCGCGATCGAGAGAGACACAGAAAGATAGGAAAAACCTCCAGCAGCTGAATATAGGACGAGCATGCATTGAGTTCTAAAGAGCAAATTCAAAGAAGAGAATCCATGTAACATAACTGAAAATTTCCCCTTATTACTAAACGAATTGATCGACTGGCAACCACGGTCAACATCCTCCAAAGATCTTGTAAAATAAACGTATTGGGGAAGAAAAACTTTCAAATGAATAAGTTTGAAGTTTGAAGTTTATTTATTCATAAATACATAGCAGTTAAAAAACTGAATGCGTATTTACTCACATAATAGAGCGTTTGCACATGACGTCACAAATCTCGCGGGAAAGTTGAGTCGCCATGTTGGTGTTCCACATTTTTCAACATGGCGGGATATCCTCTCTCAGATTATGCGAACACGCTCGATCCTCACGTGAAAAAACGTTATTTAGAGAAGATTTCTTGTGTTGGAATCGATCCTCTCTTGTTATCAGACAAAAAATACGATCCAGAGTGCCTGCCTCTCATCGAATCGATGGATTTATTGTTGTTTTTGGTGCTTGACACGAGTTATTACAGTAAAGACTATTTTAAGGCGTATAGAAGTCTACAGAACATGGTTGTAAACATGAAAGTGTTGCTATTGAAACTTATTAAAAGATCATGAAGGAAAAGCATATCAACTTTCAGGTAACGAAATGTGGCACGTTTATCAATAAACAACATCCATGGTTACATGCCCTTTATCATCTACGGGTTTATATCGAATTAATTTGATGGCCTGCTCCCAGTTGGCTTGTTAGCTCAATTGGTAGAGCGCTGCACTAGTATCGCAGAGGTCAGTGGTTCGAATCCCGTACAGGCCTGAAATTTTTTTCAGGTCTGATTTTCACTATTGCTCAAATAGTGCTTTACTGCGAAGGATCGTTCTCATATACGTCTCATAACCGCAGTTCACACATATGTTTCATATGTTTGTTGTTGTTTGATTTATCATCTACGGGTTTATATCGAATTAATTTGATGGCCTGCTCCCAGTTGGCTTGTTAGCTCAATTGGTAGAGCGCTGCACTAGTATCGCAGAGGTCAGTGGTTCGAATCCCGTACAGGCCTGAAATTTTTTTCAGGTCTGATTTTCACTATTGCTCAAATAGTGCTTTACTGCGAAGGATCGTTCTCATATACGTCTCATAACCGCAGTTCACACATATGTTTCATATGTTTGTTGTTGTTTGATTTATCATCTACGGGTTTATGTCGAATTAATTTGATGGCCTGCTCCCAGTTGGCTTGTTAGCTCAATTGGTAGAGCGCTGCACTAGTATCGCAGAGGTCAGTGGTTCGAATCCCGTACAGGCCTGAAATTTTTTTCAGGTCTGATTTTCACTATTGCTCAAATAGTGCTTTACTGCGAAGGATCGTTCTCATATACGTCTCATAACCGCAGTTCACACATATGTTTCATATGTTTGTTGTTGTTTGATTTATCATCTACGGGTTTATATCGAATTAATTTGATGGCCTGCTCCCAGTTGGCTTGTTAGCTCAATTGGTAGAGCGCTGCACTAGTATCGCAGAGGTCAGTGGTTCGAATCCCGTACAGGCCTGAAATTTTTTTCAGGTCTGATTTTCACTATTGCTCAAATAGTGCTTTACTGCGAAGGATCGTTCTCATATACGTCTCATAACCGCAGTTCACACATATGTTTCATATGTTTGTTGTTGTTTGATTTATCATCTACGGGTTTATATCGAATTAATTTGATGGCCTGCTCCCAGTTGGCTTGTTAGCTCAATTGGTAGAGCGCTGCACTAGTATCGCAGAGGTCAGTGGTTCGAATCCCGTACAGGCCTGAAATTTTTTTCAGGTCTGATTTTCACTATTGCTCAAATAGTGCTTTACTGCGAAGGATCGTTCTCATATACGTCTCATAACCGCAGTTCACACATATGTTTCATATGTTTGTTGTTGTTTGATTTATCATCTACGGGTTTATATCGAATTAATTTGATGGCCTGCTCCCAGTTGGCTTGTTAGCTCAATTGGTAGAGCGCTGCACTAGTATCGCAGAGGTCAGTGGTTCGAATCCCGTACAGGCCTGAAATTTTTTTCAGGTCTGATTTTCACTATTGCTCAAATAGTGCTTTACTGCGAAGGATCGTGCTCATATACGTCTCATAACCGCAGTTCACACATATGTTTCATATGTTTGTTGTTGTTTGATTTATCATCTACGGGTTTATATCGAATTAATTTGATGGCCTGCTCCCAGTTGGCTTGTTAGCTCAATTGGTAGAGCGCTGCACTAGTATCGCAGAGGTCAGTGGTTCGAATCCCGTACAGGCCTGAAATTTTTTTCAGGTCTGATTTTCACTATTGCTCAAATAGTGCTTTACTGCGAAGGATCGTTCTCATATACGTCTCATAACCGCAGTTCACACATATGTTTCATATGTTTGTTGTTGTTTGATTTATCATCTACGGGTTTATATCGAATTAATTTGATGGCCTGCTCCCAGTTGGCTTGTTAGCTCAATTGGTAGAGCGCTGCACTAGTATCGCAGAGGTCAGTGGTTCGAATCCCGTACAGGCCTGAAATTTTTTTCAGGTCTGATTTTCACTATTGCTCAAATAGTGCTTTACTGCGAAGGATCGTTCTCATATACGACTAATTTAGATATTAACTATTTAGATACAATGAAATATATGAAATTCATATATTTTTTTATTTTAACTACTTAGTTATTAAAAAGCGTTCAATCGGCTAAAAATAGGGAAAGCCAAAATGAGTTCGCTTTAAGACATGAGGAAATAATAAAACTATTCTTAAAACGACTGGTTTTGAAGCGTTGTCATTAAAAGGTCGCGCACGCCTTAACAAGTGGGTAGTTTCGTGTGCTGCTGGTATTAACTTTTGAAGACGGTGATTGTTGTCATTTACAATTTTGTCGAAAAGTGACTCACACATTTCGTCGTAATGGATGGCTAATTCTTTAAATTTCATAATATCCAGGGCCTCATGATGGACATTGCTCTCTTCTGTACATGTTCTAATTCTCGCATTAAATATTTAGGCAAACTATAGTGGAAAACCGGTACTACATAGTCCATGACTGATCTAATACAACTAGAATAAAAGAGCCCTTGATCAGTACGAGCAACCTTGGCTCTCTTAAGTTGAATCAAGAAATATGATCTCTTAGAGGCTTTTTTAACAATTTCATTAATATGGGTATTCCAGGTCAAATTACTGGAAGCATGTTGATTTAGCAGATTTTCCGGGCATTTTTTGATGAACTCAATAAATATCAACACAAAATATTAGCACTCAACCAAAACTAAGTCAATATCCAGTTCATTTATAGAGTCCTCTAAGCTATTCAAGTATTTTGTCTCGCTCTACTTCGCTGTTGAGAATTCGTTTCAAACGACGCGCCATTTGCTCAACAATCACCGGGTTGCGGATCTCATCCAAGAGATTACTTCAGGAAGCCAGTAATTTGGCAGGTTTTTTTTCTGCAGAAAAGCTTGCAATGCCGCCAAGAACCCGACAAAGTGTTCCCCCAGTGAATTTGTTCCATCCCAGTTGGAAGGCTTCTCTTTGATGTAGTGCATGAAGGCCGTCTTCAGGTAGTAAGATGCTAGTTGTCCAAGGGATGTTCTCTCCCTATGGTCGATGGCCTTCACCATCCTCAAGAGTTCGTGTCTGCAGCCACGATCATCTTTGTCCATGCACTTCAGTAGCTGTTTTTCTTCGAGTGAAAATGACCGTCTACAGAGGCTATTGTCCCTGGTGTGTCCTTTTGGCACGAAGTATTCATTGGTCCCAATTTGAAAGCAAGGGACAAGATCAGCCGACAAAAGCTTCTGCCTGGTTCCTTCACAGAAGATATCCAGCTGAACAGAAGGCCCATGTTGACGTACAACGAAATCGAGGTAGGACCCTGGCAACTTAGCTCGTAGGTCTGTAACTGCTCGATAAACAAGACTGTAGAACCAGCCCTCGCGAAGTCGTTCGGGGATTATGTACCCCTTTGAACTAACATACTTGGCAAGTTTAGAGTCCACGGTTGCTTTGAGTCGCACATAGTCTGGTAGGTCTGTTTCTTCCTTCATTACCTCAGGATTGCCCCAAAACCAAGGCTTCGTCGTCTTCAATACTACCATGACATCTACTTCATCGGCAGCTTCAGTTTTCAGTCTCTCGTAAACGCTGCCGGTATANCCACTGTAAGAAGATCTAACTTGGACTGTATTACTTGAGAACGCATGTTCCTATTAGTTCTTAATATTGAACGCAGGACTCATTTGATTTAGTAGGAGCTCTATTTTTTAAGACGTTTTTTAGAGCAATGTTTATAACAAAAGAATATCCTTACATAAAAATTTGATATGCTGTTAAACAACCTTAAGTTTTTGCAGACTACTTTGCAGATGTATTTCAGTAGAACGCGGAACCTGGGGAATCTGCGGCACCATTAGTTTCTTTTGTGAAAAAAAAAAAGAATATGAAAGCTAAAAATACTTTAAAAATGTTCAAAATTTCGTTTTCGGGTATAAAGAAGATTAAGTTCAACGAGAAATGTGTTTTTTTATTGTCCTTGATGTTCCTTATTCCAGGGTCATGTAAAATGAAATGGAATTAGAGGCTACCAATTACAACCTAAAAGTTTGCTATGAGCCTTCGGATGAGGCGTTATTCGGATATCGTTGGAGCTCTCATATCATAATTCAAATTACTAACACCAGGGTTGGTGACTGCTTATTGTGTCACGCGAGTCACGCTCGAACGTTCTATTTATATCAATGTTTTATCGTTATTCAAGATTTCGCTCATAATCGTAAGCAACAGAAAGACGCGATGAGAACGATTTCACAGAGCATCAGATCGTAAGATACCTTCTATTTAGCCTCGTAGGAGGTGGACAGGGCTAGTCATCGTTTTTTTCAGCGCTATTATCGTCATCACTTTCTATTCGGTGATTACGTTTTTTTAGTATTCGATTTCTTCATCTTAGTTTCTCCAAAACGTGCCATGCGATTCAGTTAAAAGTGTGATTGCATTAAATCCGCAGTAAAAGAACTAGCGTAGCATTTTGGCAACACTAAACAGCGTCCCTTCGATTGTTCTCCAATCGTAGTCGAGAACGCAACAGATTGCCGCTCCAGTACGACATTACATACCTTGTACGGTGAATGTCGCCACAACTGAGTCATTTATATCTAGTTGGAAGCTAAGGAAATTCTTCTCTATAAACTTAATCTCCTTTAACACTCGAAAACGAAATTTCGAACAGAGTTAAGGTTCTATCTGATTACTTTTGTTTTTACAAAAAAAGTAATAGTTCCACAGGTTCATCGGTCTGCTGATCTACCACAGTTCAGTAACACCCGTATTTAAGGAGACTTCCCTGAATAGGTTTTAAGTATCACCTAACTATACTCGTGTTGCTGCCGACTTTGGCCTCGATGCAACATGTTGCGATATCAAACATTGAATCATCTAGTTATCTCTCATTTACTAAATGTCGTCTCAAATAAAATCTAGTGTACAAAGCATAGATACTCATGAACTTCGCCTATTTGACCTGATAAAACCCTATAAAAGCTTTCTTTCATAAAAATAGATCTGAAATGTGCCGTTGAATCCATTTCTATTTAAGACAGTGTTTTCTTAATTCAAGCGATAGCCGTTTTTCAACAGAAATACAGATGTAAATTTTCGTGAGTGGAGCCTTTGCCTCTGTGAAATTCAGATTATCATATAGAAATAGTATGTTTCAAATTAAGGTGTCGAGAATAGTTCTATTCTCCTAAAAGACAATGAATTTTAATTCAGCAACACCAACCATGTCGCTGAACAAGCCGCATAGCTGGGGTGAACGTTTTCGTTGAGAAATGCTTCAGACGAAATTCCAATTAGTATTGAAAATAGATACTCAATGTCTTACCTGACTATCGAAAGAGTTAAATGTCGATTAGATAAAACTGAGGAGACGAAAACCGCCAAATAGAAAAATGATTCAAGACTTGTTTTTGAATGAAGACCAGCTCGATGGCTTTGTAACCTCTGGATTTCACCTTTAAGCACTTCCGGTTTTTCTTGGAAAGTTCATCAATTACTTGGAACTGCGCCTTTTGTCTTTCAACGGTAAACAAAGAACGATGCTGATCTTGATTAAACAGTAGGTGTCTAACAAAACTCGTGCATGTCTTTGAGCACAAAGTAGATGATGATGATGATGAACCTTTATTTAAGTGTCATAAATATTCTAGTTGAGAACAGTACTAAAACAAACGACGGCAACGAGTTGGCGGGACAAAAGAATTGAACAATAACTCAGCAGGTTTATTCTAAGCTTTGCACATTTCCGGACCATCCTATGCAAAATTCGTCTAATTTAGTACAGTCTAGGAACGGCAACCCTGACGGCAAATAAACCTGCTGAAACCTTCTTATTATTTCGATCAGCAGAATGATTTATCAAGTTATGTCTTCGAAAAGAGGATTTTCGGAATCCATAGTTACATGAAAATTTTGTGTCTGTGATAGTCACGACAATGGTAATGGTCAACATCTTAACTTGCTAGTTTCGCACGCGGATCGTAATTTCGTACCTCTAGACCCTAAAATCTCATTACTAGTCTGAATAACAGAGTATCAAAACTGTAAAGAGAACCTATATGATAATCAGTCATGGGGTGAAAAGTTTCATTTTTATTCCTCATTGGGAATGGCTTTCTTCATCTCAATACTTTTGTTAAATTGGTGTCGTTGAATATTTTTCGATGTTATTACAGTATCATCATGGGTTATTTCTGAGCTTTTTACCTCGTCAGGTTTTCACTGTGCCACTAACTTCATTAGTGATACCGAAATCCGCACCTATGTGATCATCAGAAAAAAAATGAAAAAAACTGCAATACTGTTCATTATTTTTTTTAGCTGTAACCTGCACGAACTCATTCCTTTGCTGTTTTGTCCTCGCATCCCTGATGAATTTTAACACACGATTCGATTTCAGATTTATTCATCGATCTTCATCTCTTTTAAGCCCTATTCTTTTTGTTTTTAACTAATAAGGAAGGCAATATAACCGTGAACCGAAATGTTCTTCCGAAACCAAAGTGTAATATTTTTCTNAAGGTTAATACATGTTTTTCAATCACATAAGCTGGCTTGCGCGGTCTTTTTATCATTATTGTTATTATTTTAGATTAAAAAATATTTCAAGGCTAGTATTTGATCGAATGAGCAGTACAATCTCACCAGCTGCTTGACTTTGTAACCACTCAAGTTTGCTAGCGAGCACATCCGGTTTTCTTGGAAAGTTCATAAATTCTGAATAATCCACCGGAACTGCACCTTTAGCAAAACGAAAGGGCTTCTGAAAATGATCAATTTTATTCTAATTGATTGACTTCCAATCAATGGGTGACAAACGAAAAGTCATGAAAGCAGGCTTTTGATAAAATCACGAGAACGACAGCAACAAGCTACGTGGCGATAGAAAAGTGTTACCACATTAAAAAATAGCTTAACACCGTCCTATGCAAAACAGCAACGTGAAGTCACTTAAGATAGTGCGGTTTGAGAACGGGAACCCCGACAGCAAATATATTTTGTTTCTTACATCGAACTTCTCTGCAGCATTCCCGTTATCTTGGGAGAGTTGACGCCGTTAGCGCCGAGCCATTTGCAGAGTGCTTAAGACAATTAAAAGAAAAAATCAGTTTTAAGCAGTGTCCTCTAAAGCGACCGGTACCTTCGCTGTAAATCCATAATTCCCCAAGATACCTCGGAAATACTAGCCAGAGGTTTCTACTTTCACAAGCGTAGACAATTTTCCGAGAACCACCTGATTTTTCTGAGAAAAGCTGAAGTAAACTCTTATTGGCTAAGCTTCCCTTCGAGCTCGCAATTTGATCAACACGTTTAATATGATATTCTTACCAAGCCTTTGTTTATCCTTTGAATATCCTCCTCGAGAAAAACCTTCGCGATTTTCCCCTAGAGAGCATCAGGTAGGTAATGTGGTATCATTATGTGGTAACGTGGTAATGTGGATCATGTCAAGTGGCAACGTCTGTCGATTCTTTGTCGAACAACGAAATCAGTATGATGAATGAAGCCATGTCATGGCTATCTTTTGTTGTCAAAAGGAACAGCGTTCTTTCCTTTCTTTTTACCTTTACATAGAATTGGCAGTTTTGAAGGACGGCAACTTCATCTTTTTTTTAAATACCCGAAGAGGCTGCAATCTTATACTGCTATTTTTAGAGTTTTGATAACCGTACTAGATTCAATGCCCCCCGACACAGATTGCAGGGCCGCCATTGTTGATTTTAATCCAAATTCTCGTATTTTTTGGTAAATCGCTCTTATTTTATGTAGTGGCATTTTAATATTAGTGGTGAAAACAGAGCGAGCAGAAGTTGTAGCATGAACATATTCTAACTCTTTTATGATGTCAGAGGGTATGTCGAGAAGTGAGCGCTCGTTCGCAAGCTCACACGGCTGTATTTAATACAAAATGTTCACCTAGAAAGTCGAAGTTTGCATATTCTTCACTGGACAAGCTTTTGTTTCCCTTCGCCACCGACTAATCCAAAACACAAGCTTCTCCAGAGGCAACTTGGTCGATTGTTAAATTTACAATATACGTTCAATCTAATATTTTGTTTTGGTTATATTTTGATGTTCCAGTTACATATATTGACGCGCATAAATCGGTATACAGGTTATCCTGACTCCGTTACAATGAAGTTAAGGCTTTTTTTCTCCCTTCATGCTTTATACCAGAGTACTAAACTTGGTCTCCACCGAGGCTGGTGCCTTTTCCGTTGAAAACGCAGTCTTTTTCGCCCATCCTCGAGCTCCGCCTTGGGGACTCGAAGCAAATACGTAGCCGACGGCGACGAGAACGCAGGGAAGCCTTTGAAGACTTTGTGTAATTCCAAGCTGTCCCATGTATCTTTCTGATAAGGCAAATTCATATTGCATCGGTAGAATATAGAAAACAGGTGTTTAAAGCTAACATTTCGTTTGACCAAGCTCATAAGTCGTACAGTTATGAATTGGAACTTACTGCTCTTCTTAATATAAATATTTCGTTCTTTAAGCTCTGTTGCGCGTATTGAGGGCAATTAACTACACAGAGTTTTGA